CCTATGAAATAAATGAAATTTGTTCTCTTTATATTAAAAAATAAACCTGAGAAGTAAATTTTTGACAAAAATTCATGTATTAGAGGCTGGCATTGTGGCGTAGTGGGTAAAGCTGGCACCTGCAACACCAAAATCCCATATGGGTGCCAGTTGAAGTCCCAGATGCTCTACTTCCCATCCAGCTCCCTGCTACTGGCATGGGAAAAGCAACAGAAGATAGTCCAAGTGCTTGGGCCCCCGCCACCCATGTGAGAAACCTGTAAGAAACTCCTGGTTCCTGGTTTCAGCCTAGCTCAGCCCTAGCCTTTGCAGTCATCTGGGGAGTGAACCAGCAGATGGACGATCTCTCTCTCTCTCTCTCTCTCTCTTTCTCTGTAGCTCTTTCAAATAAATTTTTAAAAAAATATCTCTTAAAAATTCATATATTAAACATTCTTTCTGAATACTATGTAAATAAAGGCTTAGAATAAACTTCAATTTCTAACATAATAAGGCCCTAATAATTTATAAACACATGTTTCAGTGAGTAGATAAATAAGCCTGGCAAACATATTCAATAGATATCTTATAAAAACTACCATCAAAAGCAACATGAAACATACACATGAAAATTTCAAAGCAAGAATAACAAACTGGGATTGCTAAAGGAAAGAAAATGCTGATCCCCCTCTATTTCCCATTGGTTGTAATGTTTTGTCATAATTTTTTGAAAACCATAAATATGTTTAAGCAACAGTACCTAATACTTCTGAAATCAAAAAGCATTTACAGGGGCAGTGACCTTTAGCAAAACGACAAACCTTAGGTTAGATTCATGTTAAAGCTAGTGAGATTTCACATTCCTCAGAACACAATGGGTCTTTCATGCTTATTAGAAAATGCCTTTGGAGAATATTTGCAAAGAATGGATGGAATTCTCACTGTTGCAAGCACCCATTGAATTATTTAAAAGAACAATGAATGAATGACTAACTAGAAATGTTCCTTGAGTGTGCAGACATTTATATTACAAAAGAAAAGATTCAAGTCTAGCATTTTCTTGTGAGCAATCAGGAAGAGAGGTTAACTGTGGGTATCAATTCTTAAACTACTTGCAATTAAAATTTTAGTTGCCTTCTCTCCTTGGTTAACTAATGATTTTAAACCCTGTTTACTTGTAAATATTGCTTATTTTTCCACACTTATTTACACACATTGTACTCCAAGCTACAGCTCAAATTGGGATATAAGATGCTGCCAAAGAAGTGTACATTATAGCAAGATAAATACACTTAAAATAAGGAAAATGAGGCAAAGGAAAACTGAGACTGGAAAGATAAGGTAAGGCTAGGTAGGAGTGAATGCACAGAGAATGACATTGTCTTATACTCTAAAATGAAGTAAAGCATAAATTGGGTTCTAAGATTTCAAACAACCACTTCTGACTCAAAAACCTAGTTAAATATTCAGGGCTGGCACTGTGGCAAAGCAGGTTAGGGCCACGGCAGTGGTACCAGCATCCCATACAAGCACCTGTTGAGGTCCCAGCTGCCCCACTTCTGATCCAGCTTCTGCTGGTGTGCCTGGGATAGTAGCAGAAGATGGCCCTGATTCTTGGGCCCCTGCCACCCACATGAGAGATCCAGAGGAGGCTCCTGGCTCCTGGTTCCACCTGGTCCAGCTTTGGCTGTTGCAGCCATTTAGGGAGTGAGCCAGCAGATGAAGGATCTCTCTGTAATTCTGCTTTCAAAAGAACCAATGAGGGGGCCAGCACAGTGGCTCACTTAGTTAATCCTCCACCTGTGGCACCGGCATCCCATATGGGTGCTGGGTTCCAGTCCCGGTTGCTCCTCTTCCAGTCCAGCTCTCTGCTGTGGCCCGGGAGGGCAGTGGAGGATGGCCGAAGTGTTTGGGCCCTGCACCTGCAAGGGAGACCAGGAGGAAGCACCTGGTTCCTAGCTTTAGAATGGCGCAGCGCGCCAGCCGTAGCGGCCATTTGGGGGGTGAACCAACGGAAGGAAGACCTTTCTCTCTGTCTCTCTCTCACTGTCTAACTCTGCCTGTCAAATAAAAAAAAAAAAAAAAAAGAACCAATGAATCTTTAAACAACAACAACAACAAAATTCAACACTCATGAGGTAAAAAACTGTCCAAGGAAAGCAGTTCTGACTTTAAGATGAAAGAAAACAAGTTTCCTATCAGCTCAGCTCTTATGTAATTACCAATAAAATGTATTTATTTTTCTAACAGTAGTTAGTTAATTAGTTAGTTAGTTAGTTAGTTTAAAGGCAGAGTGGCAAAGGGAGATGCAGAGAGAGAAAGCACTTCCATCTGTCGGCTCACTCCTCAAATGCCTACAATGGCTGGGCCAGGCCAAACCCAGGAGCCAAGAACTCAATCCATGTCTACCATACAGGTGGCAAGGATCCATGTACTTGTGCCAGGATCCACTGGCTCCCAGGTACTTCAGCAGAGAGTTGTACAGGAAGCAGAGTAGCCCAGATTCCAGCAGGCAGGGGATATGGGCACCCCAGGCGGCAGTTTAACCTGCTGCACCACAATGCCCCCCCCAGTAACATTTGTTTTCTTAAATATTTACACATACAGAATTCCATAAACCTGTTTCTTATGAAATTATCAGTATAAGTAAAAAAAAAAATTATAGCGATAGTAATTCTGAATGATTTTATCTAAATATGTACGCAATTTTCTGATGGTCTGGCTCAGTTTAAGAATATATTTCTCAGGGAAAAGAAAAGATGATATTCCAAAAAATAGAAGAGGAAAGCATAAAAGTATTGTGAAAAACATTTTTAGCAAATATGCAATAGCTAAAATATTTTCTCCATAAAAGTCTTGCATGTCCTTTGGTGGATTTCTTCCCACAAATTCTTACTGGTTTTGTTGTCATAAATGATTATCTAGTAGAAAATTAGGAATTTTAACTATTTATAGTTTGTTGTATATTGACTTCATTGTATAGCAACCTTACTGAAATCTATTAGTTACAATGATTTTTCTTTGTCTTGGTTTTGAAACTTCTAGCTAACATTTGTTTTTGTTTTTGTTTTTGTGAAGTCAAAGGGAGAAGGTTTCTTATATTCTCTATGAACCAAACATCTCCTAAATTCTTAATATCCAATAGACGAAGGCAGGTGCTACAGTGCAACTGGGTAAGACACCACTTGGGATGTCCTCATCCCAAATCAGAACGCTGGTTCTCATCCAGCTCCCTGCTAATGTATGTGTTAAGCAACAGATGATGGCTAAAGTACTTAGGTTCCTTCCACCTATGTGAGAGACGAGGATGAAGTTCCTGGCTTCTGACCTCAGTGTAGCCAACCCCAGGTTGTTGCAGGTTTGGGGGAAGTAAACCAGCAGATGGAAAATTTCCTTCTCGATCTTTCCTCTCTTCCTCTACACCTTTCAAATAAATAAATCTTAAAAGAAAAATCCAGGGCTGGCACTGTGGTACAGAGGGTTAAAGTCCCAGCCTGCAGTGTCAGCATCCCATATGGACACTAGTTCAAGTCTCGGCTGCTCCACTTCCAATCCTGCTCTCTGCTATGGCGTGGCAGAGCAGCGTAAGACAGCCCAGGTCCTTAGGAACCTGCACCCACGAGGGAGACCCAAAAGAGGATCCTGGCTCCTGGCTTCAGATCGGCACAGCTCCAGCTATTGCGGCCAATTGGGGAGTGAACCAGAGGACAGAAGACCTCTCTCTCTCTCTCTCTCTGCCTCTGCCTCTTTGTAACTCTGCCTTTCAAATAAATCAATAAGTATAAAAAAAAAAAAAGTATCCTAAGACCACAAAAGAAAAACTTACCAACAATGAACCCTAATCCTCATTCTACCACCTCCCCAACTAAATGTACACTTTTGAATAGGCAATTATTAAATTACATGCAAGCAATATAATATTAGACAGAAAAGTACACCCCAAAAGATCACAGACAACAAGATACCATCTTTGTTAAGTTAAAACCAATCAAAATGAAAATACATATACTTTGGGAGAAAAGGAAATAACAAACAGCCACTTCAAGATGATTGGTTAACTTAAATGGAGGAAGGTCAATAGATGGATTATGAAGACAACACAGTTGGATTACTACCAGACTTCTAGTTTTTATTGTGGGTGGTAGAGCTTCAGGTCATTACATTATTTGTTTAGACAGAGAAGAGGAATGGGTGAGGGGGAAAGAGAAAAGGAATGGGAAAGAGGAAGAGAAAAAAAGAAAAAACAAGAAGGCAGATAGATAAAAGTGCATCAAGCATGGACCAATGATGAAAGTATATTACAAACCAGGATTACCGAAGTTGAAAGGAGATGACACAAAATGAAGTTACATGACATGAGTGAGATGAAGATAAAAACTGCTCACAGCATGTAAGCTAATACCCAACCTATTACCTCTGGATAAAACTCAAAAGTTATTCATCCAGGCTATGCTTTTTTCCTGCTTCTAATTCCACGTCCCTTTCAATTATACTGTATAAAGCAACATGTTGTCCAATAAATGTGAGGCCTTCTACCACGGCCAATGAACCTTCTGCTCAGAGAGTAAAACCGAAAGCAGCAAGGAAGGAAAACAAATGGAAACGATGCTGATTCATCTACAGGCTTTCTGGAGTGGGGGTGACAATCCCCAAGCCTCTGAGCTGGCAACAGGTAACTGTTATTCAGTCATTCAATACTTAAATAAGTGCCAACCATATGTCAAATGTCACGATAAACACTGAGATCCTTCGGATTTATGATTAGGACAATCCTAACAAATTCTTGAATCTAGTTCATCACCTTTTCGAGAGCCCCAGAATCAACATATTCCTCAAGTTCAAGAATCAAGTTCACTTTCCACTTTATTTAGCTAATTATTCACACATGCAAATATCTAGGCAGCTCATTTATCAAAAGGCTATACTGGCTCTCCAAAATTAAAAGATGTCTATTACAAAATTGAAAAAAGAAAGCTACTTTTTCAACAGATGAGATTTAAGTGTGCTTATATCTGTTTTACCTGCTATCTCTAAAAGTAGATTTATGTGATCTCCTTCTGCCAGCTTCACAAATCCAACCCGGTCACCAAAACTTCCAATCCCTTGAAAAGTCAAAGTCAAATGTTTTCCTTGGAGGATTTCTTCTATGAGTGGTTTTAATTCCAAGAGAGCATCAATACCACTGGTGAGAGAGAACATATTTTTTAGTAACTTATTTAGTAATAAAGTATTCAAATCAAGGAACAAAGTAATCAATTTTAGGAAGATAAATTAATTCTTGTATTTGAACTAATTATATTAAAATTCAAAATACCTTCTAAATCTAACTCATATGTTTAAAACCATTATTTATTTTTTTTTTTTATTTATTTTTTTTTTTGGACAGGCAGAGTGGACAGTGAGAGACAGACAGAGAGAAAGGTCTTCCTTTTCCGTTGGTTCACCCCTCAATGGACTCTGCGGCCAGCGCGCTGCGGCTGGCACACCAAGCTGATCCGAAGCCAGGAGCCAGGTGCTTCCTCCTGGTCTCCCGTGCAGGTGCAGGGCCCAAGCACCTGGGCCATCTTCCACTGCACTCCTGGGCCATAGCAGAGAGCTGGACTGGAAGAGGAGCAACCAGGACAGAATCCGGTGCCCTGACTGGGACTAGAACCCAGTGTGCCAGCGCCGCAGGCAGAGGATTAGCCTAGTGAGCCACAGCGCTGGCCTAAAACCATTAATTTCTAAACAAAAACTATGGAATAAGTGAATTAAATCTTTACATAATTATAATCACTATTAAAGACATTAAAGCAGATACAATTTTATAGTCCACCAAACACTTGTATAACTGAGAAAGTATTGCACAGACAACTCAAAAAGCTCATTGATACTATATCTCAAAATATCTAGTACCTACAGGAGTTTGTATTAGATTACGTAGAAAGTTCTAGATTCTTTATTTTAAAAAAACTAATAATTACACAGTAGTCAAATCAAAACCACAATGAGATTTCACTTCACCCCAGTTAGAACGGCTCTCAAAGACAGACACCATATGTTTTCTCTGATCAGAGGTAACTAACAGAGTACCTAAAACATAACGTATTAGAGTAAAATGGACATTTTGAGATTCCATGATTGTTTACAGCCCTTGTCTCTTCTGTTTGGGAACAGTGTTTTTTTCTTCATATTATTTGCTGAACTCTTCTACTTAGTGTAAGGTTAACTTTACGATCATTAAGTAAACTGAAAGTATATCTTTATAAAAATTAAGAGTGGGAATAGGAGAGGAAGGAGAAAAAGTGTTGGAGCATGAGTGGAAGGGAATCTAGGGTAGGAAGGATCACAATCCTCCTAAACCTGTATATACAAAACACATGAAATTTGTATAACTTATATAAAATTTTAAAAATAAGTATACAGTAGTTAAATCAGCAATGTATTCTACTAAAATTTTATATACTTTATCTTGTAAAATACAATAACATCTATAATATAAAAATCATTACTATACAAGGATTCAAATAAAGAACAAGTTTAATTAGATTCTCTAAGCTCTATGTCTGTTATAGCTATTTAACCCACATGATTATAGGGCTTCTCTGTATTTCAAGTGCTTTTATTTAAAAAAAAAAAAAACAGATGTTTACTATATTGCTAAATTAGACGTAATCAAATTTTAATATTGAAAATTAGGATCAATTATTCCCATCTTGAAGGGAATTTTGGTAAAGATATGTTATTATGAGAAAAAAATTAAGATCTCACTAGAGGGCAGCAATTACTTAAAAAAGAAATAAGTACATTCTTAGAGGACAGAAAGGGTTTAAAAACATCCTTCTGGTGAACTATCATTAATTCAAATTATTTGGATCAGTGATTTGTTCATCAGTCAAATACTTGAAAAAAACATTTAGGTATATTTCTACATCTTTCTTCTTTCATATTTTTCAGTTAGTCTTCATGTCAAGTCTAACTGATTTTCATCCATGATTTTCAAATTCAATCTCACTTCTCTGTATATATATAATCTTTTAGAATAGCTATGAAAATGTCAATTTTTTTATTCCACCTCTAAATCCACATCTTAAATCCAATTTTAAGAAACAGTATTTATGTACCTCCAAAATGACATCATGCACACTGCTCTAATTTAATATTGTCTTTCATTGTGTCCTGTGGGTTAAAGTATGTAATAAAAGAACAGCCACTTTTGGCTCATCCATCATAAATTGGGGAAAATGAAGATATTCATTTTAAATTAAACTATACTAAAGCAGGCAATGAGTAAGGGCAGGACTTTTGAAAGAAAGTAAATTCTTTATACTATGTTTCTTTTAAAAAATCTGGATGATCTAAACTTAATCTAGTTTTCAGTTCTCTAGTAGAATTCAACAAATTTATTTATTTTTTTTAAGATTTCTTTATTTATTTGAAAGTCAGAGTTACACAGAGATAGGAGAGGCAGAGAGAGGTCTTCCATCTGACGGTTTACTCTTCAATTGGTTGCAATGGCTAGAGCTGCGTTAATCTGAAGCCAGGAGCCAGGAGCTTCTTCCGGGTCTCCAACCTGGGTGCAGAGCCCAAGGACTTAGGCCATCTTCTACTGCTTTCCCAGGCCATAGCAGAAAGCTGGATTGGAAGTGGAGCAGCCGGGATACGAACTGGCGTCCATATGGGATGCCAGTGCTTCAGGCCAGGGCGTTAACTCATTGCGCCACAGCACCAGCCCCCAACAAATTTATCTTAATGATAAGTTAATTCTCACACAATGAAAAGGATTCATAGTGCCTACCACTGACATGAAAATTCTTTTCGATAGAGTATCTTTCCAAGCAGAATTTATGGAACAACTTCTTTGTTTCTTTGTAGTAAGAGAAGTAAAAAAGTATACGCATACAAGAAACTAGAATTCAGACCCAAAGGTTGTATTTCAAATTAAAGCAGGATAGCTATCTTTCCAAATCAGCAACTAGGTTTGGCCTAATGCATTTCTATTCTTTTCCCTTACACTGTAAGGGCACAAAGGAACCAGATGATATCTACCTGAAGAAATTCATGAGTTTAACAAAAGCATGTATGTATTCCACTCCAACCCTTTGATCAATTATTTACTAAACATCTAAAATATGACACTAAACTCTGTAAAGTAATAATAAGATAAGAAACTGGCCGGCGCTGTGGCTCAATAGGCTAATCCTCCACCTGTGGCCTCAGCACACAGGTTCTAGTTCCAGGCAGGGCACTGGATTCTGTCCTGGTTGCTCCTCTTCCAGTCCAGCTCTCTGCTGTGGCCCGGGAAGGCAGTGGAGGATGGCCCAAGTCTTAGGGCCCTGCACCTGCATGGGAGACCAGGAGAAGCACCTGGCTCCTGGCTTCGGATCAGCTTGGTGTGCCAGCCACAGCTTGGTGTGCCAGCCACAGCGCGCTGGCCGCAGAGTCAATTGAGGGGTGAACCAACGGAAAAGGAAGACCTTTCTCTCTGTCTCTCACTGTCCACTCTGCCTGTCAAAAAAAATAAATAAATAAGAAACTGACAATCTAGCTATCTAGTATATTAGGATTAGCTTATAGGATGAAAATTAAAAATAAAAAGTTAAAACCTTTTTTTAAAAAGATCTATTTTATTTTATTTTATTTGATGGACAGAGTTACAAAGAGAGATCTTCCATCTGCTGGTTCACTCTCCAATGCTGGTTCTCTCTTCAATGGCCAGAGCTAGGCCAGGCTGAACAGGAGCCTGAACTCCATCCGGGTCTACGATGAGGGTACAGGGGCCCAAGAACCTGGGCTGCCTTCCGCTGTTTTCCCAGGCTTATTAGTAGGGAGCTGAATCAGAAGTGGAGCAGCTGAGACTCAAAGCAGCACCAATATGGGATGCCAGCATTGCAGACTTAACCTACTATGCCATAACTCGGACCCCCAAAAGTTATAACCTTTTAAAAATCTTTCACATAAACAAAGTCTTTCCAGAAAACAATCAATTTCACTCTCACTATCTAGCTGCCCAAATTAAGGACACAGGTTTAATCTCACCATTATCTAAAAGTTGATACCTCTGACTCTCCAGAAAATGGATGGGCCTCAGTCAATCAGTGGAAAGCCTTCATGGAAAACGCTAAGTACTCCTGAGAAAGGGCTTCTGCCTCCAGCCTGTCTTGGACTTGAGACTGTAACACCAACTCTTCCCTAGGTCTGCAGCCTGCCATACTGCACTGCGTATTTTAGACTCACCAACTCCCACAATCATGTGAGCCAATTCCTTAAATAAATCTCTTCATGTAAAGACATCTACGTCTACACAAACAGATATCCATATACATACACATTCTCCTGGTTCTGGTTTTCTGGAGAGCTTGACCATTCCAGTACACACAGGACCCTACTCCTTCCTCTCATTCTTTCATCTTCTTGGCATCTTTCTTGGCATCTCTCGTTCAAGAGCACTTTTTTTTTCTTCTCGTTGGCAAAGTGATCACCAAAGTGAGTCAAATAAAATCTTTCCTACTCTACCCACATAGAATGCCCAAGGCTGCTCTTGGGGAGATCGGTGTGAACAAACCAGAAGTCTGATCTCTAAAGACAAGAGGTTCTACAAAAGACATAATCATAATATTCAACAATGGCTAAATATTTTGAGTTATTTTATTTTCTCCATTTTATTTTACCTTTTCCTCACCCCCTTCCCCAATTCAAGCCTTGTTCTTCATTCCTAGGAGTCATACATGTCAAGGTATAAAACATAGTAATCCACAACACATTCTAGGTCTGGTTTTCCAGAGTTTAGGCTTAACAGAGTGGGTTATTACAGCAGGTAACAGGGAAACAGAATCATCTGAGAGTGTTTAGAGAACTGAAGGAAGAACAAGTTTTCTCCACTCCAGAATGGAATGGAAAGCACTAATCAACAACTGATACCCAAACTTTATGACACAACCCTGGAATCACATGGCATGGGACTATATACAAAGATTCTAAGAATAACTACAGTAGGGGCCGGTGCTGTAGTGGGTAAAGCCACCGCCTGCAGTGCTGACATCCAATATGGGTACCGGTTCAAGTCCCAGCTACTCCACTTCTGATCCAGTTCTCTGCTATGGCCTGAGAAAGCAGTGGGAGATGCCTGGAAAGGGGCCCCTGCACCTGCATGAGAGACCCAGAAGAAGCTCCAGGCTCCTGGCTTTGGATCGGCATAGCTTGGGCCATTACAGCCATTTGGGGAGTGAACCAGCAGATGGAAGACCTGTCTCCCTCTCTCCCTTTCTCTCTGTACTTCTCTGTAACTCTGCTTTTAAAATAAATAAATAAATATTAAAAATAAAAAAGAATAACTAAGGTGGAAGTGACTCTTGTTTTTAGTGCCATCTTGGAAACCTCCAAGCCAGGAGAGCCAAGTGGAAGAAGAAGCAAATGTGCAGGCGGAAATGCAAAAGAAGAATGATGAGACAGGGGTGCAAGTACAACACTGACTTGTATACCTGTGATGGCCAAAGGGACAGAAGTAATAAATGTCAGACCCTGGAACGCTGGTACAAATTTTTGGACTACCTGCCAGTATCTACAACTTGTCTCGAGATTCTGAAACTTCCATCTCCAATGGATCACAGAAATTGCCTATGAGACTCACTTTGCTGACCCCAAAACAGTCCCTGATGGCCCTTTGCCTGGGCCTGCAACATTCTGTACTAGTTTTGTTGTTAGTTGTGTCTCCAAGTGTAACACGTAAACAATAAATCATCTCTTCTGCTGTCTTAGCCAGAAAAAAAAGATGCAGAGTGTCCAATGTCCAATGGCCTAGTAAAATAGTAGCTCTAAGAGCTACTAACATTAAAGTGCCTACAATGTACCAGACCCTTCCTAAGAAATCTTGCATGATTGCCATGATTATTTTCTTCAGTTACTTAGAAAATAAACGATTTCCTCAAAGTCATTAATAAGAGGTGGTTGTGCCATGGATCCAGAATAATTACCTATAAGGTCAGACTCAAGAGTGTTTACATAATCAATATAAACAAAGCACCTGCATAACAAAAGGTTATCATGTGGTAATAAATAATACAATGAAAAGTCTAGATTAAGAAGAATCTATATAATTAACTCTATATATTGACTGCTAATAGCAACAAATTATAATGAAGAATACTTTTTTAGAATTTTAATGGCTTTTAGAGTTCTGCTATACTTATTCATATCAAGATAAAAATTTGGAAAATAATATTCAGGAATGTTGTATTACTTACATGTTTATTTCATCTTCATTTAATAATTGCATCACTAATAGGGTAACGTGAAAAGAACCATCACTGACCATGGCTTTGGCCAATCGCTTATCTTGCTGTATTATCTCATTTTGCAGAATCTTAATCCCTTTTGTTATCTAATCACACATGCACAAAAAGAAACAGAAATTAGGTGAGCAATGTTCCTGTATAGTAAATCATAAGTCAAGAAAAAAAACAAGTATCAACCAAATAAGCAACCAAAATCAGAATAATGCTGAGAGCCTTCAACAAAGCAAATACCCAATTGTATACTTGTTCTCAACTATCCTAGATGGCTGGAAAGCTTAATAGGATGAAAAATTTCAGAAAATCGAACAATGCTTGTTCATCTTAAGAGAATGGAGGCCAAAATCCTTATTTTGCAGATCAGGTCATTGGCTGAGTAGAAAAAAATCTCAATGGTCATGCATATTTTCAGAATATAAAATATGACTCACTAATTATGATCTTTCCTAAGGGGAAAAAATTGCCACAGAAAGGTCAAACCAAGCAGACAACATTCCATTTCTGTGAGAAGTAATATTTATTTCCCCCAAAGTGAATGTGTCTGAGAAACCATTCCTCATGGCCTTTGAAAATTTTTAGGATAGCAATAATTGCAACAAAAATGACCACTGAATTTTTCCTGACATGTGAGGAGGGGTATAACCATGGAGATAGGATTGAAAGAAGTCCAAATGTGTGGGTTAGAAACACTGTCTCAGTCTGCATCTGGGTGAAAATTCCCACAGACCTCGTCACCCACCTGCCTTCCCTCTACCCCCAGAATCCAGTCTGCTGAAACAGGAAAAGGAATGATGCCTCCCCCTCCTTTGCATCCATTTAGATCCAGTTCAGTCAATGCCTAAATGTGAGTGTTTAGGAGCAAAGTTTGAACTGAAATAGCAAAACCAGAGAAAAGAGAGCACATGGAAGGAAGCCCTAAGGAAACAGAAGCTCTGAGGCAGCAGAATATTACAGAGAAAAAAGGAAAAGGGAGGGAGCTGGCCATAGGAGCAGAATCCACAAAAAAAGCAGAGATAAGAAAGAATTGAATCATGAGCATAGCAACTGTTCTGATAGGAGAGTAACTGTTTTATCCTGAACAATGTTCCCATTATCTGTGGAATGTGATTGGGCAAATCATGAGACTCATGAGAAGCTGTCCTGGGATCTGACCTCCCGTTGACAAAGACTCTCCTTTGACCAAAACTTTATTCAGGCTCCTCTGAGTCCTCTGCTTGACTAAGCCCCACTTTGGGCTTCTCTCTCTGACTTTGCAGATTCTATTCTGAGCAAGAATCCTGCTGCCTCAGGTTGAAAAAAATACCCCCACCCTCCATAACTAAGATACCTTACTACCCTGGCTTTCCTTCAGCAATATCCCAGCAAGTCAGTCTGGCCGGAAATCATTTCGTTGATGTTTCTCTTAGTAACTTTCTATTCACTGACCCCCAACCCTTTTTCTCAGTTATAAATCCCTTGCTCTTGTTGGAATCAGTTTTAAGTCAAATGTCTCTCCACTGCAAGATTCTGTTGCAGTGGTCCCTATACCTATTTTCACAGCCACCTTGAATAAAGTCGCCTTTACCATCTTAGCAAGTATCATGAAAAATTTTTCTTTAATATTACCTATTGTTACAATTAATCTACAGCATTCAAAATAACCTCAGGACTTCTCTATTCCCTGTAATCTGAGAGAGGCTAACACAGGAAATGGTGTTTTCCCAGTAGGAAGTGTTAAAGCAAAATTAAAACAGAGACAAAGACTGAAAAATTCCTGAGCAAACAAAACCTACTAGGCCTTAAAAATAGCCTTAACCATGCTTAAACAGCAAGCGTAAGCAAAACTTGGGTCATTTCTGATTTTGTTGCCAGAGGCATAATTTAACTCCAATCAATCAAAAGCAGCCATCTAATATCCAACTATGTGAATGGAGATTTTCCAACATGATTAAAAACACACACACACATACACACACACAATTTTGCTTCCACTTTTTCCCTATAAAAACTCTAACACTTTGTCATAAGAACACTAAGCCTTTTTCAAGCTGGTGTTCTCCAATTCATGAATTGCTTCTTACTCATATAAGGTCTTTAAAATTTTGCTTTGCTTCAGATTATTCTTTTATGGTTTGATAACAGTGGTGGGAGTCAGAGGAGACTTCCAGTAACTGCTGGGAACTTCAAGGACCAGCCAAGAGGTATCCACTGAGAAGATTATACTCAGTACTTCTTGCTACATCTGGAGGTTCAAGTTCTGCGCTTTGTGTTTCAAACTATCTCAATTTACTTAAATAATTTTACTTTTGACTGGATCCACAGGTTGAACTGGGTGTTTGACAGGAAATGGACTAGATCAGGTTATATACCACACTAGCTTTCAGGTGAGGTAGGGAATACAGAATGGGATCCAGACGTTGAAAGAGGTATCTAACACACTGAACTGGGTGTTGGACAGAATCTAGATTCCATTCAACATTTTGTTGATGTGTCTTCTGTCAAAAATATGGAAGGAAAATACCAAGCAGGATATGTTATAACTACTCAATATGAACTAACAGAAAAGGTTAGTGTTCTACAATTTAAGTAGTAAGAATCTGTAGCATTACAGACCCTTACTACAGTTTGTCAAACAACCAAAAGACAAATCAATCAACATGTACACAGATAGAGGGTATGCCTTTAGAGTGGTGCCTGAATTTGAAATGTTATAGAAACAGTTTTCCACTGCTAACGGAAGTTCCATCAAAACTGGACCCCAAGGGGCTGCTGTTGTGGCATAGCAGGTAAAGCCGCTGCTGCAGTGCTGGCATCTCATATTTGTGCCAGTTCAAGTCCCAGCTGCTCCACTTCTTATCCAGCTCTCTGCTATGGCCTGGGAAAGCAGTGGAACATGGCCCAACTCCTTGGGCCCATGCACCCATGTGGGAGACACAGAGGAAGCCCCTGCCTCCTAGCTTTGGATCAGCCCAGCTCCAGCCATTGTGGCCAATTAGGGAGTGAACCAGAGGATGGAAGCTAGCTAGCTAGCTAGCTAGCTCTCTCTCTCTCTCTCCCTCTCTCTCTTTCTCTCTCTCTCTCTCTGCCTCTCCCTCTACACTGACTTTCAAATAAATAAATCTTAAAAAAAAAAAAGTGGACCCCAAATAGATGAATTCCTTTCAGTTATTCTGCTGCCCTCACAGGATGCTGTTAAAAGTGAAACTCATATTTGTAAGACTGAACCTGAAAATCAAGCACACACATTTAGCAGACTATTCATGCCAAGTCAATTAGCAAAGGAATTGTTAAAATACAGAATTTGAATGAACTTCATAAAGTTGATCATATCAAATCATTTATGATAATATGTTCAAGAAATAGTATCATGTACCTGAATTGGAACAACAAAATATATCTTCAAGGATGGAATTTACTGCAAAATGAGGAGTCACTGAGGGCTAGGATGACTGACTGATCCTACTTGAATCCCTAAATGCATCATTAGTAAAGGCTCTGTAGTCCATCATGGTACAGACAAAACAGCTCAAATTATGAAGAGTACTGGGTGATTGTCTCAAGCAATAAAACTGATATATAACCAATATCTAGTCTGTCAGACTAGCAATCCTGAAAAGATCTATAAGGTTCCAAGAGGCAAATTTGCACCACCTGCTGGACCATTTGAAAATCTGCTGAGGAGGAGTCCCAAGACGGTGGTATAGCAAGGATGAACCGAGTCACACAAGGCAAAATAAATAGTTAAAAAGGGAAGAAGATACACTCTAGAGACAGAGCTGTGGAAAATACATGATGTGAAGCCCAGAAGAGCAACAGAAACTGGGCAAGTCCATGCCAAAAGAGCAAATAAGAAAGGGAAGTGGTGGAGGATCGGACCGGGGAGGTTGGCACCAGCCCCTAGCGGACCAGGTGAGATGGGAAATCACAGGTTAACAAACCTGCAAATAGCAATGAGAGGGAGAGCTTGGGAAATTCCTTTTGAAATTCATGTGGGAAAAAAAGAGAAGGTATAGAAGAACGAATAGAGAGATAGGGCAACTCCCCCACACACCTCCCTCTCCTCCCTTCGCCCTACCTGGACCTGCAGCCAGCTGGGAGAAGCCATTTTGTTGGTTTACATTTTCTAATGTAAGCAGGGGACTGCCACCCTTGCCTCCCACACACATGCCCATTAATAGCAGGGGCCACCTCACCACAACCCCAACCCAGGAAAGAGGACCACAACATTTCAGAAGAATTTCTTCCCCAGCAAGCAAGTTATACAGCAAAGAAAAGTCTTGAATACTGAAAACTAGAGCCCACTCCATCAAACATTGAGAAGCAAGCCAGGCTCTAGTAGGCAGGGCCCATGCACTGAAGCTTGTACCCACCTCCAGCATGATTCAGAAGCGAGCCAGGCCCCAGTAGGTGAGACTCCATGCTTCTACTTGCAATGCACAGACCCATAGCAGCTTATAACACAGGGAAACCTCACCATAAGAAAATCTCCACAGATTAGAGGTGCAGTTCTTTAAGCAGGGCAATATAACCCTGTATACACCAGAGACTAACACCAGGGCATCCCACAACTGTAAGGAAAAGTACAGGTCAAACCAACAGAAGTGAATAACCTACTCTAACCAAAAAACCAGAGGAAAACTACAAAGTCCCACAGAGGCCTTACTTTGGATAACTGTTCTACCCTGGAATACTAAACAAAACACCCAAGCCAAATACAGCATGCACCTCCTGGAACTCACTGAAAGTATAGATGTCCCACTAAATCACAAAGACACAAATTAAAGCGAAAAGCAACCAGACAAAAAAAGAAAAAAAATACACAAATGACGATAAACAAAAGAAAAACCCTAAACAAGAATGACACTATGAGCCCCCCCAAAGGAACACTACAACACTTCAATAATAGAAGGTGAAGATAAAGAGATCAAGGTTATGCCAGAACCAAAAGTCAGAAAATTAATCATCAGATTACTTAGAAGCAACCAGAAGCAAATACATGATCTAAATGAAAAGTCCTCACAAGAAATTGAGACATTAAAGAGAAGTCAGAATGAAATACTAGAAATGAAAAATTCAATGGATCAAATAAAAATGCAGTGTAAAGCCTTAA